TTAATATTGAATATCAAAGTTGGCCGGTAAAGCTCTCACCTCAGCTATTTGTTGTCTTAATGTGAATCCTTGCTTGCTGTTATAAAATTAGAGAGAAATATAGAGAATATAGAGAATGTTTTTTTTATTGTATTTTCATTATAAATGAAGTTCTTATTTATAGAAAAATTTTTGATGGTACAATCGTAATAATACAATTACATCAGGGACAAAATAGTCATTCATGTATATTATTTTATGCACCTCATGCACATATATTATAACACTCCATATTTTCTAAATATCATTATTCGAACAAAACATAATTTGAAAATCTTGAAATGTCTTGTGGCCATCAATTAACGTTGTTTCAACATGTCAGGAAAACTAGCTGGTACAAAACCTGGTCATTTTATAATTAATCCATTGTTCCTCAGGAAAACCCGGTGGGACAAAACCTGAGCATTGTAGAAGCATTGTTCCCCCTCAAATAGATCATCTTTAGTGGAGTATCCACTTGCTGCCACATTAAAACCTTGTCAAGAAACCCAGTGGAAAAAAAACTGGATCGAAGGAAAAAGAGTACAACTACCCCAATGTCTTGTTATCATCATGAAGAATTATATCAATTATCCAGTAGTTCTCATTATACCATGAATATGCCTCGTTAAAACCTTATTAGGAAAAATCCAGTGGGACAAAATTCTAATTAAGGAAAAAGAGTACACTATTCATGTGAATAGGCCATTTCTGTTGTCTCATTAAAAACCTTGCTAGGAAAACCCAATAGGACAAAACCTCAGTCAAGGTAAAAAGAGTACAACACGTATTTTATATGTTTATCATAATAATCATTCCATGATTATCATATATATTCATTCAGATTTTCAGATACTGATTGTATTTATACCATATCATTCGTTGTGCAACTTTCAGTCTTACCCTCATTCATTACTTATTTTGGGTATTTCAATTTGCACACTATCAATGTTTCCAGCGTATTATTCCACCATCATAATATTTCACATATTTCACCTCCATCAGTATCATTCAGTTTATTTGCACACTTCCAGTGTAATACATATATCATTTAAAATTTCAATCATTGATTCTCCCCCTCGTCTTAACAAATCCCTAATCTGTATTTTCAATATTGAATTTCTTTTCGTTCTCGATTTTCAATATATATAATAGGAGAACTTTGAACTCATATTCCTTGTAATGTGCACATTTTTCTTTCAAGAATTCATCATATCAGTTGGGTAAATTACTAGCTTTTTTAATATAACACTTATTTTTATCATCTCGTAACTTCATGTTACGTGTCATATGCAAATTTATTGCTCAAAACATCTTGTTACTTCAGGTTACTAATCATTTAATCATGTGGGTATCTAGTGGATCCATAATATCTAGTAGCACACATGCAGAGGTAGTGATCTCATATATTGTACCCCTTTTCATGTTGATTCACAAATATTTAGCTAGTAATAATTTTCACCAATCGAGAACAAAGCATCTTATATCATAAATATTAAGTTAATCATGCAAACCATCATTATTTATATTGGTAAACATCACAATGATATAGCCACATAAGGATAACCCGGTCCAGAAGCTTCCTACTCGACCGGTGAACCACTCGAACAACTCGCATGTCGACATGACCCCGTCGACATGCCCAAATCGACTTCCCTAAAGTCAAATCCACCAAGAGCAACCGAGAAGAGACAGAAATTGGTCTAGTCGACTCTCGCAAGTCGACCTTAGTCTATCGACTTTCACTAGTCGACATCAATGGAAGAAGAACAGCAAGAGCGTAACGCCCGAGCATCCCGATATCCTAAGTCGACTCCCAATAGTCGACTCAACTAAAATGACTCTATGAAGACGACTTCACCCCAGAAAGTTATCTAAGCGTAGCCTCCGAATCCGTACATACCCATGAGTCGACCGCCTAGCTGTCGAAGTCGACCCTGCACACCTCGAATATTAGAGATGTAATGACGATTCATCACACTTGTAGCACACTTGAAGTTCCGCATATTATAAAGGATAAGAAGGAATCTTGTGATGACTCAGCAACAAGGGGAGATGAATCGACCAGGGCATTTTGGACCTTCTAGGTCCACCGACTTGGGCATTTTGGGCACTTCAAGTAAGTATTCACTCCTATATAAAGGAGATGAGGTAATCCCAAACCCTAACTCTCATTCATTCCCATTCTCCCCCATAGCTGCTGCGCAGCATCTCTTCATCACTCTCATACTGACTTGAGCGTTGGAGGCTCTACGCCGGAAACACCTCCGGCGTTGAGTTTTTGCAGGAATCCCGCGGTCTAGTAACAATTTGGAAGCGGTTCAAGCAGATCTGAGCTCACATCCACCGGTTTACCCCAGATCTGGAAGTAGACCCATCATATTGGTGCCGTCTGTGGGGAGTTCTTGAAGGAAGTAAGAGCTTCACACCCAGCTCCGATCTGATTGCTGATGACGGAAAAGGAAGGTTTGCAGAGGAATCTGAATGAGGAGTTCAGGGGAACGTGGATGGACAAGAGACCGCCGCCACTCTCCACCACCAAACACCCAGTGATGCAGATGATGAGGATGCCGCCATTTGGAGGACCTCCACAGCCAGGACTGACGTTGGGCGGAGAAACTCCCGTCACCCCAACCGGAGTGAAGCTGCAAATGTTGACCCAGGCAGGAACAAGTCAAAACCCTAACCCAGATGGAGAGAGAGAGCCAACGGAGATGTCTCGACGCGAGGGAAAGCAGATACAAGAGATACCGGAGCAGACACAACCCCGCGTCGAGGAGCAGACCTTGATAGTGACGAGGAGTGAAATGCAAAAGATGATTGCTGAAGCCGTGGCTGCCCAGATGAAGCAGATGGCGCCGGTCGAGCAGCAGCCTCGAGTCGAGTACCCACCCCGGGTCGAGCAGCAGCCCCGTGTTGAGTTTCCGCCTCGATTCGAGCAGCAGCTGCGCGGCGAGCAACAAGCCCAATCAAACGTACAACAGAACAGAAGGGTGGACGAGGAAGAATCCTCCATTCGAACTATTAATCCACAAGCGAGGGATGAGACGTTAGAACCACTATTGGCACAGGTTCGCGACTTGCGAGCTCGAGTCAGTGGGAAGAAGAGCAGAGGAGCAAAAGAACACCCATTCTCGCAGCAGATCCTGAGAGCCGACTTACCCAAGGGCTTTAGGGAGCTGAACATATGGTATGACGGTTCCACGGACCCGTCTCGACATTTGAGAATTTTTGAGAACATGGCTGTGCTCCACCGCTACAACGACCCAGTGCAATGTCGCGCCTTCTTGACGACTCTGACAGGGTCGGCCCAGGATTGGTTTCACCAACTTCCAGCTGTTGGGTTCGCTAGTACCGTACGGGCTGTACGCAGCGGAATTTAAAATTTTTAAAGTAAGTATTTATCGTATAAATACAACACCCTTACATACTAATTGCGAATTAACAGATCGTCATCTTTAAAATATGCATCATATACAAATTTTGATTTGTTATAATAAAGTAAATACTAATACGAAATATTTACCGAGTGTCTTGAACTCCTTCAACAAAGATGTGGATTGTGGGAATCGGTTCCCGGTTGTAACTTCAACGGCTTGAGGTTACTCGCTTTAGGAATCCAAATGTCTTCCCTCTAATCGTATCCACCCTATGAAGCCCGGTTCCGACGACCTTTCTTCGCTAGTAGAAATGTCTCGGTTTTCTTGTATAGGAATATATATATATATATATAAATAATTTGGGAATTATCAAGAACACTTTCTTGAAATATATGAAGAACACTTTCTTCTCTCTTTGATTTTCTCACAAAATCACTTCACATCTTTGCAAACATTTTGCATCTATTTATACTAAACATTTTAGCATAAAATAATCAATATTTAGTAATATTTAAATAAAATCAAATTTTATTTAAATAGTATTTACTAACCATTGACTTTGAAAATAATAAGATATGTTAAGTAGTTCAAACAACCATTAACAACCATTTTATTATAATCATATTTCTTATTTTAATCCTTAAATCATATTTAAAGATATAAATAATAATTGGATAATAAATCTTGAGAATCTTTCTCAAGACTTTATTATTATATCATTTTCCCAATCTTATAATAATCATATTATTATTATTTTGGATTTGAAATTTAAAATCCTATTTTAAAATTCAACTTTATTAATTTAGTAATTACTTTAATTACTAAAGTAATATCCAAAATGTAATTAATCAATCTTATTGATTAATATATTCCTTTAATTGACATCTAATCAAATTAGATATTTATCAATTAATTCTAACCATTAGAAATACAATCTTTACCTTTGTTCATAATTAGTGTGACCTTTTAGGTTCACTATTAATACTAGTAGTGGGTTTACAACACTTTGTAATTTGAGTTAAATCTTATTAACTCTTATTCAAGAATTAACCCCTTAATTCATGAACCCACATATCATGGTAACACCTAGCAAGTATCATGAATCTAGTATTAAGTGAATAGCGAGTAAACCTATTCCGATTACAACTCCATACATGTAAAATCCTTTCGACATCTAATTTCCCGATTAAGTCTTGGGTATGATTTTGTCGAAACCCAAATTGACTTAATAACTATGATTCTATTTCATGTTTATTAACCCGGTTATGAATCACTATTCATCTCTGCCTTGGCCAAGGACTTTGGATTAATAACTATGAAACACATAGGAAATTCACTTATCTTCATAAGTGTCGAATCCTTTATTGGCCACTAACAAACTTCCATACATATTAACATAATACCCAACTTATCCCTTTAAACGATAGTGCTAGCTACCAAAAGGATAAATCAAAGTAGAATGTAATATGCACAAAGTTACCATTGTGCCTCAAGTCTTAGGATTAGTCATGTACTATTGTAACATGAAAATTCTTATTCGACTGAA